ATTGGTTGAATACTATTATCCTCAAATATATGGTGATAGTGCTCCAGACTGTATTAATATTGTTTCAGATTGTATGAAGGCTCTGTATAATGGCCATGCTATTTACTCACCATTAGCTCCTAATGGTCAAGCTGAAGCATCTCAAGTTGGTGGNAAGTTGGTGCTAATAATGATCGGCTGACAGGGTACGACAAATTCATCTATGAGACCTCACAGAGCAACAACATAAAATCAGATTTGGATAAATACTTGGAAGAGCCGCTTTTCCCTAGAAAAGCCGATTTTAGCATATTAAACTGGTGGAAGGTTCACACTCCAAGGTATCCTATTCTGTCCATGATGGCACGGAATATTCTTGGAATGCCTATGTCAAAAGCTTCATTAGAGTTTGTATTCAACACTGGGAATAAAGCTCTTGAACAGTATCGCAGTTCGCTAAGATCAGATACCTTGCAAGCTTTGATGTGTGCCCAGGACTGGATGCGTGATGAGTTTGAAGGTTGATATTTAATTTTGTAGTTTACAATTATGATATATTCTATATTATCTGTGAAGAATAATTCTGAGTTTTTGTTCAACAGATTCAAGGGCTTCATCGAGCACCGTTACTCTGGCCCTATGCTATGATGCAAAATAATAGCAAGCTTTTGGTATGCTTTTGTCATTCCAGGTTGCCATTCTTTTGCTTTCTGTGTATATTAGCATCTTCTAAACAGTTTCTCTCCTTGTTATGTTAAGATTTTGTAGAAATTAGTTCATTTGAAGATTTTGCTTTTCCAGAGCTTCCATAAGTTGGTGATAGAAATCATTTGCTCTCACTTTATGCCAAACATCAGATGGGATCTTTTGTTCAAGAATCTAACAGTTTTTGCCGTGTTAGGCCCCATCAGTTTACTTATTTATCTGTATGTAGTTTTGTTTTTTCTTCCCATTATGGTATTTGAACAAGCCAAACTGGAAGCCTTTTCCGTGGGGGTGGATCGTTCAGAACTTGTGTAACTCATGCTCATTATGGTCAGTGATTTGTTCATCTGAACCAGCTGAGTGGAAAATTGCGAGGTATTCTTGGATTTTTGCAGCTTTCATTCCCATGCTCCAGCCTACTAGGAGACAATAGAGTCTGCTGTTTTGTATTTCAACCTCCTAAGGTGTGTCACAGCCGAATAAAGGGAGAAGTGAATAGTGAGTTATTCAAACTAGTTGGAGAAAATATCCAAAGAATTTTATAGGGTTTTTGCTTACTATGGGACCTTACAAGAACCATATGTAGCATAACTCTAATTTCAGATTTTTGAATATTTGGTATATTCTGACAAACAAGAAAGAATTTGTTGTGTGACTTTAGGAACAATTTTTACAACATAATGACTTGCCAACTTATAGAATCTGCACAAAATGTTCCTCATCTTGCATTCTTTCAAGTGCAAAAAATGGAAGACTGCTATCTTCTCTGTTGAACTATGTGCAAATAAGAAACATTAAAGACATGCATTTCAAAGGCGGCCTTCTCTTTGCAGAAACAATCCTTTGCTAATTTTTTTTGTGTTGACTCTGCCACATAGGTTTACTTAGAGTTTCTTAAAACCAAATTTTGTTATTTTCTTTCTTTCTAATAATGTTGGTGTTTGGGTTAGCTTTTGCATACTTTGACTAATGCACGGCGCAGCATGTCCTGCAGTGAACACATATTGCCAAGATAATTCTATCCACCAAGGTTGAATCATATGGGTTCGCAATCGCTCCAAGTGTTGGGATCAATCCTAGGATGTCCAAGTTTTGATTTCAAACCTAGCATTGGACACCCGAAATCCAGTAAATGGTGAAAGTCCATGACAGTATCTTGGACGAAATCCATGGAGTTTTACTTTTTAAAGTTTAAAATCCATGAGTGTCATAGTGGCTATTTTTTAAAATTTTGATCCAAAAAGTTGCTAGCATGTAAAGTTTTCACGTATAAAGACTAGTTCCTAAAATTTATAAAGAATTAATCTGATTTGTCGTTCACTCATTCGCTTAAACTAAAAATAGTCGGCAGAGGTATAATATATACATAATTTATGTTTAATATGTGTATAATCATGTATAATCTATGTATAGATAAACTATGAATATGACCGACTACTTGTGTAAAGATCCCAAAATTTGGCCCATGCATATTGGTCAGGTCAGCGATCAAGCATCTCTATTACACAAAGTTTAACCGGGAGAAATTCAAAAATAGCCAGATTTACAAGTGGTCATTCAAAAATAGTCACGCTTTCAAAAGTAATCGAAATTTAGCCACATTTCATGTAAAGATAAATCTAAGCGAAAATACTGTTCAAAACCCGGAAAATAAGCCAGTATATTATGCTGGAGTTCCAACATAAGTATACTTGAACTCCAGCATATTATACTGGAGTTTCAGGATAAGTATACTAGAACTCCAGCATAATATGATGGAGTTCCAGCATAAGTACACTAGAACTCCAGCGTAATATACTGGAGTTCCAGCAAAGTATACCGGTCCAATATAATATGATGAAAGTTCATACACAAGTGTTCGAATCTCCAGTATATTATGCTGGAACTTTCCATGTGTTGGAGTTGCAGCATAATATGCTGGAAGTTCATACACAGGTGCACCGAGCTCCAGTATATTATGCACCGGTCTCTGTTGCAGCAAAATAGTGGTTATTTTTCAATGACTTGGCAAACGCTGGCTATTTTTGAATGACCAGTCCGAAAACTGGTCAGCCCGTGCTATTTTTACAGTTTAATCGGTATCTATTTTTTAGGCCAACATTTATATTTTGTCCCTTTTTTAAAACATTTCCAAATTATAACCTCCCGCTTAATAAGCAGAAGTTTCACAAGTTCATTGGGAACTTTAGAATCAAGGGTGTAAAATTATAAAAATATATATATATATATATTAAAAATTATGACTAAACTTTAGACCATTATTGATTATTGTTACAACTGCATAAGCTTATGTCAAAATCTATCCTTTATAACAAAAACCTACGATCGGTTCAATTGGTTCTAAAAGAAATACTTTTGACGCTCATAATTTGGTCACATAGACCAAACACTATGAAACATGATTAAACTAATTCAGACTATTCTTCATGGGTTGAATTTTAACATGTTAAGTGTAGCGAATTTTTATATTATCAGGTTACTTGAAATTAACTATTTATTTATCATTATTTTTGAACCTATTTGATTGAACACAAAATTTAAGAGAAATAAAGATGTATATAACTTGTAATATTAAACAACATATTTATAAGACCATGACATTCAGTGTAATTGAAATGTTAAGATTATTTTTAAATATAAAAAAATATTATTAATTTTAAATAAACTAAGAATAAAAGAGTATAAAATAAAATGGAGTGAAAGAAGTACAAATGTAAATAAGAATAGTTACTAGTAAGGGGTTATCTGATTGATTGGGGTGGTAGTGGAGTATAAATATAAATAAGAAAATACTTCGCATAATATAATACAATATTTTGTTTGCCGCATAAGAGAAAGACAGACGCAAAACTAATGCTACATTTGGTTAATGATATTAAATAATACCTCGTTAAGTTATACAAAAATTTATAGTATATTATTCTATGCAGCGACTGAATATGAAATAAAAACATGTGCATTAACAATAGGAGATTAAAATATGACAAAATGCCTTTTTGAAATAATTAATTTACGTATAACAATCTCCTCATTATTAATCACCACAAAACATTCACTATTAGCCCTTGTTTGGATGGTTATTATATATCGTTTTATAATGTATCGTATTGAATTGTATTATTTTAATGAATACATATTTGGATAGATTATATTGTTTACCGTCATTTTATGATATCAAGTATCAGCAATGTGAAGAATGAGCTACAAAGAAAAAGTAGGATACATGATAAAATTATTACTATATAAAAAAGTAGGATAAAGGATAAAATAGAATTATTTAATAATAAAGAAGGGAAAGATGAGAAAAAAAAAAAGATAACGACGCGATCACACTAAATCGATATTTACATATAATGACACTTTTCATCCTTATATAATGATATAATGCAATAAAGTATAATAATAAAATTAAAATTATATTTATACTAGGGATAATACATAAGATTGCTCCCTGAACTTGTCCCCAAAACTCAGTTTTTCGTTCAACCTTTACGGGTGTTCCTTTTCCATCATATACTTGTCTGAAATGAATTTAATACCTCCGTGAGACATAATGAACCAGTTTCATGGTGGAAGGTGTTGCACGCTCTCCTTATGTCTTGACCACGTATTATCCCAACAGATTCAAGTTGATTTTACCTTTTCTTTTTTACTTTGTTTTTTAATTTTTACTCCTTATTCTTATTTCTCTTTTTTAATTTTGCATCTCCTTCCTTAAAGAAAATTTCTTTTCTCATACTCCTTCCTACGGTGCAATCCTTCACCCCAATCACAAAATTTAGATTCAGATAAATTAGTTTTCAAGTTAATTAAAAAATTTCGCATTGTAATACCAAAATCTGGTGGCATCGGAAGAATTTTTTCGGCCAACATCTGATGGGATTTTATAGTTTAATTGACTTTTTTCATGTTAATGCGTCTTCATGGGTTTTTAATAGTCAAAGGTGAGAATACAACTGATGGTTTTTACAATCTCTAATTAATTTTGCATCTTAATTTTCTGTCGGGAGGAGGAAGGAGGATATGCGGGAATGGAGGTTTTACTGATGAAAAATAAAATGAGGAGAGAAGAAAAGTTGGAGAAAGAAAAGGAAATGGAAAAGAGCAAGAAAATCTGCCCTTAAAATGTAGTGGAGAAGAAAGAAATGGCGTTGAGATGGAGAAGAAAAAGGGGGTTCGGGGGGT